CTTATACATCTCACAAAGTATTGTCCATTCTTATTAGCAACAGGTCTTCCAGTTCTCAGGCAGAAGGCTTTCCAAACCCTAGAAAAACTTCTTGTATAAAGGAATTAGTTCCCAAGATAGTTCCAAGAGTAGTTAGATGCCACAACCTATTGGGCTGGGCATCTAAACTAGCCTGCTGGTTCACCATAGCCTCCAACATTTCACAGGACTTTATCACACGTGGGAAAAAATGACAGGAACATAGCAGGATGCTCCCGTCAATATTGTGCAATTTTGCAAAGATTAACACACGACGTCATGATTATCCTGTGAATAAACAGGAATTCCAATCCCGTTTTTTATTCACAGTAAAATCCCATTAAAAAAAAGCAGCTCTAGAATTCCTGTTTATTCATGGGATAATCACTATGTCACATGACGTTGTGTGATAATCCTTGCAAAATCGTGCGATGTTGACAGGAGCATTCCACTATGCTCCTGTCTTTTTTCCCAGTGTGATAAAGTCCATAAATTAAAACTGGGGCACATGTGGCCCTGGTACATGAGAGTGTGTCCCAGATGGCGAAGATTATTAATGAGGAAGAATATAAAAGCTAGGAAAGACTGCAGCAGTTTGCTTTTGCCTGAGTTAACTGAGAAAGGCAAGATTATTCTGTCTCCTCCTCTCCTCTTCCACTACTGAATTAACTAAGTGCAAACTACTTTTGCAATTTGAACTCACTTTGAAGCAACTGAAGTAAGTGGAGGACAAATGAGAGGAAGAAAGTGGGATGCAAGAGAAACTGGGACATTTTAAAAGCAGCTGAAAAAGTAGATGACAGAGGGTTGATAGGGATTGTCCATGACAAATTTGGACAGTTGCTGAGGATGGGTTCACATGTGGTGGATGATGTGTAAAGGCCAGTGTGGTATAATAATATGAATACTGACTAGGCTTTGAAGATCCTCATTCAAGTCTCCACTGAGTCATGAATCTCACAAGAGGACCTTGGACCACTTCCAGCCTAACCTACCTTAAAGGGTTGTTATGAGGACAAAATTAGGAGGAGCAGTGCATTGAGGAAAGATGCAATATAAATGTCAAGGGGAAGCACCATATCCTTCACTCCAGGAAGCAGGATGTTTCAAGCTTGCCATAGTTCCCCATTTTCTCTCCTCCAGGATCTGTGCTACCCTGCAGAGGTGCCAAGGAATTAGGTTTGTTGTTGTTGTTGTGTGCCATGTTTCCGACTTAAGGCGACCCTAAGGCAACCCTATCATGGGGTTTTCTGGGCAAGATTTCATAGAATCATAGAGCTGAAAGAGACCTCAAGGGTCATCCAGTCCAACCGCCTACTTATACAGGAATACACAATCAAAGCACCCCTGAAAGATGGCCATCCAGCCTTTGTTTAAAAATCTCCAAAGAAGGAGACTCCACCACACTCCAAGGCCGCGTGTTCCATTGTCGAAAAACCTCTTAAAATCTCTTTTCCTGTAGTTTGCATCCATTGTTTGTATCTCTGGAGCAGCAGAAAACAAGCTTGCTCCATCTTCAGTATGGACCTTATCACA